TGTTTATTTTTCATTGTTGTTGTTCCTGTTGTCATTCTGTAAAATGCTTTGAGAAGCCACCTTTAAAGGCGCTATATCAAATAAAGTTTATTATAATATTTATTATATGTGTATGTGAGTGTGTGCGCACACGGGCTCTCATGTTGGTCATTGAGATTTTCTGGGGTTCCTATGAGAAGATGACTTGTAGGTGGTACTTGGATGCTTTGGTTTGATCAGGGATGGTTTGAGAACAACTGTTCTAGGCCATCTTCAAGGCGACCTCTAGTGGTGGTTCCTCCATTACTGCAACCATTCACAGGCTCGCCTTCCATATACTGCATTGCAGTTATAATGTTAATAACTTTTATTTACAAAGCACCTTTACAAACCCAAGGACGCTGTACACCTTGAATAAAGTTCTTAAAAAGTTGGAGATAACAAGTCAAGATAAAAAGTTCAATAAAGGTAAATAAAAAACAAAACAAAATAATACAGCTTTTCAAAAGTTGACTGTAGGCAATCAGAGATACTGTAGACCTTGGTAAAAAGGTAAGTTTAGATTTGAAGAGAGTTACAGAAGTTGTCTCCCATAAAGTCTGAGGAAGGTCATTCCACAACACTGGAACAGCAACTTAAGAGGCAGGGTCACTAAAAAAGTCAGTGTTTTAGTCCTGGGGACAGTGAGAAGAGGACCGGTCTCAACTGAGCAGAGCCTACGGGGGGAACATGGAACACATCACAGATGTATGATAGAGCCAGATTGTTTAGAGCCTTGAAAGTCAGCAACAAGATCTTGTATTGAGTCTGTAACTTTGTAGGCAACCAGTGTAGGCAACCAGTAGGCAACCAGACTTAAGTGGAGGAGTAATATGCTGCCAGGGTCTGGTGTGAGTAAGTAGTCCAGCTGCAGAGTTTTGAACACATTGCAACTTGTTGAGAAGAGTTAGGGAGCCCATAGGGTAAAGAATTTGAGAAGTCAAGCCTCGATGTTATAAAGGGACAAGTAATAGGTTTATTCCATGCTGAAAAGAGAAGAAAGAAAACACAATATTTTGGCCACGGAGCCTTCTTCAGGTGAAGAAGGCTCCGTGGCCAAAATATTGTGTTTTCTTTCTTCTCTTTTCAGCATGGAATAAACCTATTACTTGTTCCTTTGCAGCCTATGCCTGCTGACGCAGCTAGCCACCTGAACTACTACTTGATGTTATAAATGCATGGATCAGGCACTCAGCATCGGACATTGATAAAAATTGCCCTATAACCAGCAATATTTCTAAAGTGAAAGAAAGATGTCTTAATCAAATTTTTCACATCTGGCTCAAAAGATGGGAGAGGATCCAGTGTGACTCCCAGATTCCTGACTATGGCTGACACATGAATAGGGATGCCATCCACCATTACTGTGAAACCCTTAGGTTTATCTGAGATTTGCTGCCCACCAAAAAATTCCGGTTTTGTCACTATTTATCTCCTGAGAATTTGATGTGTCGACACAAACAAGAGATAAGTGAGGGAAGGGGCAGACCAGAGGGGGAAGAAGTTTTAATATAAATCTGAGTATCATCTGCATAACACTGATACTGAAGACCATGTTTGCATATAATTTGGCTGAGAGGTAGCATATAAATAATAAAAAGTAAAGTATATTATCAAGACTGAACCCTGAGGCACACTGTGATTGATTGGGGACCAAGGGAGACAAAATGCTGCCTGCCAGTCAGATAAGAACAAAACCAGTTAAAGACAGTACCACTGATAAACAAGTATTTCTGCAAGCAATTAAGCAACACTGAATGATTTGCTGTATCAA